TAATAACAACAACAACAACAACAACAACAACAATAACAACAACAATGAAAAAAATATCTGCAATTAAAATAAGATGCAGTGAAACTATTGCAAGGAAGAGAGTTGGTTTGGCTTTTTTTTTTTGCACTTTAAAGATCAACAGATTTGTTGTGGCTTAAGAGGTCATGGCAAGAGTTCAGAGCCGAATTACAATACATTTTCGAAGAGACGCTGGCCATTTAAAAGTTTACTGGGAGTGCTCTGGACTTGCTTTCATCTGGCAAAAACGTGAACGAATGCCAACATTACGTTTTCTCTTTTGTTCAAACCAGCAGAGGGTAGGGATTGAAGAGGGGGCTTCCCCATGTGACAAGATGCACATACCTGTTCCACACTTGAAAAATGGCCGTTCAGACAGTAAAAGTTTGGCAGCGCTAGAGACAAATGCATCCCTCTGGGACCCCCAAGCACACCACTGGACATTGCTGCCCGAGGGTGATCTGCATCCCTTTGATGACCATTGTCTCACACCCAGAGTTTCAGCTACAAAAGTGACCCAGTCATGACTCCCAAAAAGTAGCATAAAATCTTGGGTCAAGTGTTTATGTAATGCTGCCCTTACCCATTTAAAGAGAAAGGACCCAAGGTTAATTGAATAAAACCACGGTCCACTATAGTAATCCAACCCACCTACTGTCTCTAAAATGATAAAGGAACCTGCTCTGATGATGACACAGAAATAAGCGCATTGTACACACCATTTTATAATGATGACACTGACATTCTGACTCAGTGGTAGAGCCCCCTAACCCTTCACATTCCCAACTAGGCAGAACGGAATCCGCCCCCAATCATGCTATTATAAATATTGCTTACCTCTTCCTGCTTCTTCTCTGCAGATCGTTTTACTGCATGTGAATCAGGTTCTTGTTCATTCTCATCATCTTGGAGATGGAAGGAGGAGGAGAGAGAAGGTAGAAATAAAATCAGTCAGCCAGCTAGAAAAATTCAGTGGTGTATTCACTGGCAGCAGAGCTCCCAAGCTACATAGGTCATTCAATCTCACCTTCTTCATCATCCTCTTCATCATCCTCAGGATTTGCATCTTCATCATCATCTTCCTCCTCGGCTCCATTTTCATCATCCTGCATAATGCAAAGCCAGAGAAAAGACCAGCTACAGACTGCCAGCCAGTATCTGGAATGGCTGTCTTCATGCAGCTACCTCCCTATTACCACACATGCTATGCAACAACCCTCAATTTATTTCCTTGAAAAAAAATCACCAAAATTTCCCTTTTCCCTACTAAGCCACTATGTTGTTATGTATAGAATAACAGAATAATGGAGTTGGAAGAGGACTTCAAGGCATAAATATTTATATCCTTTGGTGTATACCCCTACTCTTCCTCAGAACTCAGAGTGCCATGGGTAATTTCTACACAGTGTGCCACCTAGACAACATAAGGGACCAGTGAGCTGCTCAGCATGAGCAGGATTGTGTCATGTTTCCTCCAAAGCACACACATACATAAACCAGAGAGTTACTTATCTGTAACCATAGTTCTCCAAGTGGTCCTCTGTGAATCCACACAAATGGGTTTAGACTGCGCCTGTGCAGGACTCCTCGGAATATTCTAGAGCTTAAAAACATGTGATTAGTAGGACGTTCCCCCGTGGCGCACATGCTCCGCCCACCCGTAATACCTCAGTTCCAAAATGTCTGCTGCTGTCAAGGCTCTGACCATAGCAAAGCTGAAGACATCAAGTGACGGACAGTGGGGAGGATGGGCGGGATGTGTGGATTCACAGAGGACCACTCAAAGAACTATGGTTACAGGTAAGTAACCTCTTTCTTCTTCGTGGCCTCTGTGAATGCACACAAATGGGTGATTACCCAGCTAACTTACCGGAAGGAGGGTTGTCACACTAACAATGAAGTCCAGCCCTGTGAAAACTTGCTTCCTTCTTAGCCCTGATGTCTAGATGGTAATGCGTCACAAAAGTTGAGTATGTAGACCAAGTAGCCGCTCGACAGATGTCAGACCGCAACGCCACACAACCAGGCCACAGAAGTAGCCATAGCTCTCATAGAGTGTGTCTTTAGCACATCTGGCGGAGTCTTGCCTGCCAATTCATAAGCCAATGCAATGGCAGAGACAATCCATCTCTAGACCGTCTGTGAGGAGGCAGGAGAACCCTTATGTGGGCCATGGAAGCACACAAAGAGTCAAGGAGAAGTGTGGAAGTCCCATGAAGCACGATGAACATTGAGGGAATGGAGCATGCGTTCAACATCAGAAGAAGCAGATGGAAATAATATCAGACGAATTAGAGGTTGATTAACATGGAAATCAGAAATCACTTTGGGAAGAAAAAACACATCTGGATATAAAACAATTTTGTCGGGTTAAAATTGAATATAAGGGATATCAGCTCGAAGAGTGGCCAGTTCGCTTGCTTGACGTGCAGAAATTATCATCACAAGGAACAAAGTCTTGATGGAAAGAATTTTGAGGTGTGCAGAAGCCATGGCTCAAACGGAGGATGAGCCAGTGCATGGAGAACGACTTGAGGAGACCACTGAGGGAGTGGAGGTCGGATAGGTGGGTGCATATTCCACAAACCTCTCAGAAACCTCTTCAGGGTAGGATGAGAAAATAAATGAGAAGCCTCAGACCCCACAGGCTGATATGAGACTATAGTTGAAACATAAACTTTTTACATTGAATGGGCCAAACCATGATCAAAGAGATAACGAAGGAACTTGAGAAGCATGTCCAGTGAAACTGGGACCGCGAGTAAATGCTGTGAAGCAACAAATTTAAGGAAAGCATTCCATTTATACGAGTATAACAACTTAGAAGAAGGCTTCCTAGCCTTATCCAACACCTCCACTACAGTGGGGGAATTATCCATGCCGTAAGGTGTAGAGATTCCAGGTCGGGATGACAAAGCCGGGCATTGTCCTGAGTCAGAAGGGACGGCTGGAGTGGTAATCTCAGGAAGTCGGACACCATGGCTCTGAGAGGGGTAAACCATGGTTGTTGAGGCCACCAAGGGGCTATTAAGATGGCATTGGCCTGCAGCTGATGGATCTTGACTATCATCCGCTGGATGAGAGGAATGGGAGGGAAGAGGTAGAGAAGGGTATCACCCCAATTAACCATGAAGGCGTCGCCTAGTTCTTGCCTCTTCTTACCCTTATGGGGTACGTGCTGCACTTTGAGTTGACCTGAGTGGCAAAGATGTTGAGAAATGATGTTCCCCACCGACTGCAGAGACTGGAAAAAACGGAGTCATTGAAAGCCCACTCGTGCGCTTGGATGGTGAGATGGCTCAGACTATTGGCCACCGCGTTGTCCTCTGTTGACACGTGAATCACTACAGGAAAAACATGGTGATCATAACACCATTCCCACAGCTGAATCGCTAAACATAAAAGTGTTATCGAATGGGTGCCACCCTGTTTATTAATATAATACGGGGTGGTCATATTGTCTGTGGTGATGAGAAAATGGAAGGCTCTGAATGACTTGATGACTGCTAGCATTTCCAGGTGGTTGATATGCAGCAAGCTCTCAAAGCTGGACCACAAGGTGTGAAACTCGTGATGACTGCATTGCACACCCCATCCTATTGGGCTGGCATCTTTTGTGACTTGTACTGTCAACTGAAAGGGCCTGAATGGGCGGCCCACCAAGAGATGAGGGACAAAGGTCCGCCAGGTAAGTTGACGAGCTAACTCTGGAGTAACCAGCAGACGTTTGGAAGGATGATCTAAGAGAGGGCTGGACTGGGACAGGTACCAAGCCTGTAATGACCACATTTTGAGTCTTGTGTGCTGGAGCACAGACGTGGCTGAAGTCATTAGAACTAGTAGGTGCTGTGTATGGTCAGCAGTGACTGTGGTGTAAGGGCAAAAAGGGAGAATGGTTCGCCTTAACTTGAGTATCCTTTCCAAAGGGGGGAATACTCTGGCCATAATTGAATCGAGATGTGCTCCGATGTAATCCATTATCTGTGATGGTTCGAGATGGGACTTTTTGCAATTGACCTGCAGGCTGAGATCTACTAGAGTCCACAGCACAAAGGTAGAATCCTTTTTGGCTGCAACATATGATCCTGCTACTGTCATCCAATTGTCTATGTACGGAAATACCATAATGTTGTGCAGATGAAGATAGGCAGCTACAGGGGCCAGACACTTTGTGAAAGTTCTTGGAGTGGTGAACAGACCAAAGGGAAGGGCGCAAAATTGGTAGGCCGTGCCCATGAAAAGAACCCGGAGAGATCTGAAGTGGCGGTCGTGGATCGAAATATGAAAATATGTGTCCTGTAGATCTACAACTACGAACCAGTTGCATGGTGAAAGAAGTGGGATAACGGATTTGAGGGTGACCATTTGAAAACACCTTGAATGAATGTAAGTGTTGAGAAGTCGCAGGTCCAAGATGGGACGGAGGCCTCCATCCTTTTTTGGGAACTGTGAAATAACGGGAGTAAAATCCGTTCAGAACATCTTGGGGAGGTACTCTCAAAATACCATGCTTTTGGAGAAGAAGAGATATCTCGTCCTCTAGGGCAGGTGAGTAAGCAGTGGGTTTGACATGACCAATATGAGGATGCTCCATGAACTCTAACAGGTAACTATAACATAGAATGGCAAGCACCCAAGTGTCCTTGGTGATGGAGGACCACTTGCTGAAAAAGGGGGCTAGCCATGGATGATGGGGGCAGGGGTGAGATGAGGAGAGTCAAAGGTATTACTTGTTTTTTCTTGCAGGATGATGGAAAGGTTGTTTGCACTGCTGAGCTGGAGCCTGGGAGCAGAAGGAAGGAGCAACAGAAGAAGATTGAAGATTGGATCTTTCTGGGGCTGAAAGGTTTGTAGGAACAACAGGGCTGTTGATATGATTGCTGAAAAGTGAAGGGTCTACAACACTGGCTGCGTTGGTATCTGGGCTGCTGGGTGGAGTAGCAGCGGGCAGTCTTACGAATTTTGTGTAAATTGTCCATCACTTCATCTGTCTTTACATTAAAAAGACCAACTCTGAATTTTGTGTAAATTGTCCATCACCTCATCTGTCTTTACATTAAAAAACCAACTCGGTCAAAAGGGAGATCCTCAATAAAAAGGGAGATCCTCAATACGGGATCTAGCAAAGCCAAAGCCTTTGAGGCAGCATCTGCTGTGTGGTGGGATGCAAGGCGCTGCTGTTTGGCCAGAGTAGTGGCTTCCAGGTGAGTATTAAGGGCGCTGGCACTGGTTTCCTCAGGGGCAGACTGAAGGACTGGAAGGATTTTGTTCCATAACTTGTCTTTGATAAGCGCCGATTGCCTCTTGATAGTTAGAAACTCTCATCACAAAGGAAGCCAAAGAATATAAATGATGACCCACAGAACATCCAACTTCCTATCTTCTCGGTTGGGGGAGTTACTGTTGACCAGTTACCGGCACAAGATTGATTAGACTGTACAATAACAGAATTTGGGGACAGATGCTTGACAAGGAAAGCTGTGTTGGCTCCATGTGTTCGGTAGTGGTTCTCAACCTGTCTGGAAATTTGGAGGGATGTAGATTGCTTGTTCCTTGATTAAGGTCCAGCATGGCTGGTATGAATGCTAGACTCAACAGAGGGGATTTTTCCTGATTTATGTCATCGAAGATGAGGTCCTGTTTAGAAGGAGGTTGCTCGATATCGAGCTCCAATGATTTGGCCATCCGAAGTATGATTTGGGAATAAGAGGTAAAGACTTCCGATGGGGACGGAGGATGAACATCTGCAATGTCTGAATCAGGGATTGGTAAGTTAGAAGGAGACTCCCTGGAAGCTTCAGAAGGAGGATCGTGTTCAGAAAAAGCAGAAACCGAAGAACCTCTAGAGATGGAGAGAGGAGGTGAGGGAGAATGACAATGAGCTCGAGATGAAAGGAGACTCCCTGGAAGCTTCAGAAGGAGTTCAGAGTTCGTGTTCAGAAAGAGTAGAAACCGAAGAAACTCTAGAGATGGAGAAAGGAGGTGAGGGAGAATGACGATGAGCTCGAGATGTAGAAATTGAGACCTGAGGAGTCAACACCAAGGTAGAACCATGATGAAGTGAATGGGATCTAGAGACGGGGACACTTGAATGCGATACCTAAGGCCGTGCGTAATTGTTTCAAGGGGATCTAGAGACGGGGACACTTGAATGCGGTACCGAGGTCGTGCGTAATTGTTTCAATGGCACTGCTTCCAGAAGAGTCTCCGACTGAGGCAAGCTACGCTTGGAAGCAGACTTCCTTGATATCAGGAGTATGGGATCGACCTGGAGATGCATTTGATGTCAACGCCGAGGAGGAGGAGGTGAGGGTGATTGGGAAGAGTCAAGAGAGGCCTAAGCATAGTGAACATGCTTAGGTCGTCCGTAATAATCTTCGATGTAATGAGGATCGATCTCATCCACTCAGAATGTCGATCCAACTCAGCATAGAGGGGTTCGCCATACTCTGACACTACATGGCGTCCAGATGGACGAGGAACAAGAATCACCTCTCTATACTGGGAATATTGCCGAGCTGGAGAGATATGATGATGCTTTACCAATTGCTTCCACAGAGGTGACTGAGGGGCTGATGGCTCTGAGTTGGACAGTTGGACTACAGTTGCCCGCCCGATCGAAATAGGGTTAGAATGGGCCAAGGCCGGGCTGGAAATGACATCAGCCTCAGAATGGCCTTGAGATGGGGACAAGCTCAGTACCGACACCAAAGCTTGAGCCTGTGGGGGCGGTCCTGATTCTTCAGCCTCTGAAAGGGAATCCAGATCTGGGATGTCCCTTGATGACTCTTCCAGGATTGGGGAAGGAAGGGAGATGTGAACAGCAGGAGGTTCATGGAGCTGAGCAGACTTGGATGCCCATTTAGTCTTCTTTTGCTTACTCCCATCTTTCCTCTTCTTCTTAGGAGAGCGGTCCTTTGGGACCGAAGGCACCTTTGACACCAAGGTTGAGGTTGATGCCGAATAAGTTTTTGGTCTTGGTATTTTCGATGATGTCTTCGGGGAGGGAGTTATTGGAGCCGATGGAACAGAGGCTCAGACCGAGGAACGGAAGTACTGGTAGGTTCCATTGCAGGGCTAAGGGAGTTATTGGAGCCGATGGAACAGAGGGTTCAGACCGAAGAATGGAAGTACTGGTAGGCTCCATCGCAGGGCTAGTGGGTGGGCTGGAGGGTCTGAGGGACTTTTGCAAACGAAGCTTAAGAGCCGGTTTAGTTAATTTTTTGCACTCCATACAGGAGTGAGTCTGATGTCTTTCTCCTAGACAAAATAAACAGCGATCATGGCTGTCGGTGAAAGGTATCTTATTGGCACACGATGCACACTTCTTGAATGGATTCGAAGCGGCCATAAAAAGGGGGGAGTTGAAACAGGTCTGAGGGACTTTTGCAAACGAAGCTTAAGAGCCGGTTTAGTTAATTTTTTGCACTCCATACAGGAGTGAGTCTGATGTCTTTCTCCTAGACAAAATAAACAGCGATCATGGCTGTCGGTGAAAGGTATCTTATTGGCACACGATGCACACTTCTTGAATGGACTCGAAGCGGCCATAAAAAGGGGGGAGTTGAAACGGAGGAAAGGGAATAAAAGAACTCACAGGGAAAACATCCGATATCCAAACCCATAAACATTAAACAGTCCAAGATTGTATGCTGTAGATTAGGAATGAAGTCTGTGATCTGAAATCGTAAACGGGAAAAAAAACTTGTCCGTGATCAAAAAACCAAATGATTAGGCTAGGAATAGCTCTAATAGTCGCTAAAGGAGTCCAAAATCAGCAGCGGATAAAAGGAACTGAGGTATTATGGGCAGGCAGAGCATGCGCGCCACGGCGGAACGTCCTACTAATCACATGTTTTAAAGTTCTAGAATATTCTGAAGAGTCCTGCACAGGCACAGTCTAAATCCATTTGTGTGCATTCACAGAGGCCACAAAGAAGAAACAGGATATTTTTTCCCATCACTGTTTTGTTCACTCTGCACAGAAGGAGCTATGGGCAAGTGCAGAGAACTACCGTAATCAAACCAGAATGACAGACTCCCTAGGTGGCAGCCTTGAACATCCATTTAGGACCATATGGACCTTGCTAGATAAACCCAAGGGCCAATTATTTGCACACAGCATTCTCTTTTCAGCAGTGGTCCACCAGGTGCTTTAGAAAGCTTTGGCCTCTTACCTGGTCTCATTCTTCCACCCTGCTTTACTTATCACAGCTTCTGAGTTTTTGACTTGGGGATAGAGCAACTGAGAACAGAGTTAAAAACCCTTCTTATCCCATTTTGTCAGTGCTGAGTTCATAATGAAGCCATGCCACGAAGAATTCCATCTGTGCAGTCTTACATAGAATAGAGCTGTCCTTTACAACTGAAACCAGTTGTCCTGGAGCCTAGTTATGAGCAAACAGGTATAGAATCGTGCTGGGCCTTGTATGCTAGGTAGGAAAATGTCTGAATGGAGAAGAAGTGTGCGTGTGTGTTTATGTGTGCTTGCGAGTGTGTGCCCGTGCATGTATGCAATCACAAGCCCTCTCTTCCCTACTCCAAATGTACATCCCTGTGTTAACATCAAAAGCCTTTCCCGAGGGGGGGGGGAAGATGGCATAATTACTGGTTTCAGGGTTTTCGTCCCATCCAAATCAGTCAGCACAGCAGAGGTAAAAGGAGCTAATCCTGCTTCTCTTTCCTCTCTATGTGATCAGGATCCTCAGAAGGCAGGAGTCGGAAACCCTCCCTCCCTTCTAATATTGCTCCCCCACCCCCTTTTGGACTTATTCTTGGCATGACCTCCCATTCCTGTCGGTTCCCCTTCAAATGCAGACCCAATTACCTCTATTATCTCCTTCTTTTCTTTGCGGGCAGACTTTTCCTCATGCTTCTCCTTCTTTTCTTTCAGGTCCTAAAAGATGGGGGTGGAAAATACATTCATTTAACATTGAAAGGGGCGAATGAGGACCCAGTACGAGAAGATGCCCTGGCAAAAATAATGAAACGGGTGAAGAAGAGGATGTGCCTCAGTATCTGCTCTTGAGGAACAGACAGAAAAGTGAGAAAAACGAAAACAAAAAACAGTTTAAATTTATAAAAAGGAAATAATGCTTTTACAGATGGTTTAAAAAAAAAAACAAGTATCACTGCAATTGACAGCCTGTCACTTGTGTCACAGGAGCCTAGATATCAAAAACCAGAGGAGTGCCAACAGTCAAGAGTGGTGGCATAACTTACCTGCAGCCTGAGAATCCCCGTGGGGATTTCACCTCCCATGAATTAACATGTCGCTCAATCCACTCCTGTTCCTCACCTCCTTATATTGAGGCATGAAGCCCCACTAGACTGTGCCTTCCGGGTTCAGCTGATTCCTGCTCTGCCACGGTTAATGAGTCATAAAATCTGCCACCTGAGGCAGCCGCAGCCATCTCACAAGATAGCTACCTCTGCCTGTATTTCGCTTATTCATTACCTACTGTCAATACCATTCTGTTTGGAGTGCCTTTTATAGGTTATATTTCCATTCCCTTCTATAATGAGAAGTTTGCATAGAGAACAGCATATCGTGACCCATCTTTATTGTCTACAAAGGCAGCCTTTCACGGTGGTGCGGATGTGGCTCTCTTGGTTTACAGCCTGTATCCCTTTGGTCATTCTCTATGATCTGTGTTTTGCTATTAGAGTGATTGGGCTGCTCTTTACAACTTCCCATATAGATGAGAACAATAGAGCTTACCATTTATACCGTGCTTTTCCTAAACAAGAAGTAAGGAACTTTCAGACTAGGAACTTAATGTAGACCAGGAGAATTTCCAGTGAGCCCCAGACTACTTCTGCTTTTATCTCTGACCAGTAACTAGAGATTAATATGCCATTTTACCTTGAAATGCTTTGGAGTGGAATCAAGGGTTCTTTGCAGGCAGGAAAACTATTGCATGGAATTGAGCCATGCTTTGCAAGCAGAGAAACCACTGCACTTGGGTTTACTCCTGAGCACAGGCACAAAAAAACAGCTGTGTTTTGCGTTCTTCCTGGCAAAATGTCCAAATTGGTAAGAAGGAGTCCAAGTCCTGCCTACTCTGCCTTTGGCCCCACTCGTTGCTAGTAAGCAGCCCTGAGACCTTTCCCAAACTTTCCCATGCCTGCTCTAAGTTTACAAAGCATTTCACACACATTATTACAGTATCTGTATTATTTTTTTTCCAGAGAGGCCTGTAAACTAGCCCAGCATTATGCCCACATTGCAGAATGGGAGCTACCTAAGTTGTCTTCTTCTTTAAATACATATATTGGAGAAGTGTGCAATAGCACATTCTGTACAGGTATTACCTATTGTATTATCACAATACTCCAGTAATGACTTCAGAAGCAAATAATCGGAACTTGAAAATATTACTTTTTTTGTATTATGACTCCTAGCATCCTCCTGCCAGCATTTCCAGGCTCTACAAATGACCAAGGAGGCTCTTTACAAACTAACAAAGATTTGCCCAGACATGCAGTACCTTACACTGAAAGAAAACTAAACCAAACAGTAGTAAGCAGAAGTTGGGAAAAGCACCCCAGGGTTATTTTCCCCCCATTTCTCTTTGTTCTTTGTATGAGATTTTATAGGAGGAAAACACTGGTTCCAGCTTTTTAAAAGCGACAACATTTTGGTTTGGCAACAACCCAGATCCCTGCACAATCTCTACTGGAGTCACTGTTACGCACTAAATGAAATTCGACATAGCATGTTTACAGTAGAGATAAGCCTTTCTTAGATGGTACAGTATAAGAAAGACAATGTGCACTGTGGCCTTTACATATAAAGCAGCAACCCGTTAATGGAGCAGCTGTCCCCTCTACTTCCCACTAGGGGGCGATGTGTGCTCTTCTGAGCCAGGAGGCTCCAAAAGCCGGCCTACTGAGGGAGATGAAACACTGGCCCAGATCGGCTGCTAAGTGTCACCCAGGTTGAACATGGGGGTGGGGCTGTCACGCCAGCATCTGGATTTCCGCTATTAATCTTCTAAATTTTACCGTATTGGGCACATCCAAGTACAGTACAAAGAAGCTTCTTCAAATAAAAGAAATATTTTTTTCTCAAAAAGTAGGGCCACAATGAACGGAAACTGGCTTAGCTGTTTCTGGGTCATCTTCTAACAAGGCAGTTCTCGAACTTTTTGACATCATGCCCTCGTTTTGATTTCTGAGGATCCCTCGTGACTCCTTGCCTTTCCTGTACCATCACCCAACCCCCTTTTAAACCAGAAAATAAAATAAAAAATTCAATTAATAATTTAAACATCTTCCATGTGAATTTTTTTCATGGTGGGGAGTGCGCGTGCGCGTGCACCCACACACACAGACAAACTAACTCATTTTGAGAAACAATGTTATAAGAGAATCAATAACAACTTTCCCCAAAATCTATGTCAGGTTCTCAGTTCCCAGCTACAGAAGTAGTGGTTCTTTGAAGGCAGGCAAGGATCATTAAACCAGAAGGCCTCTCAGAATTGATGCAGGATGCAAGACCTGTCACTGGCACACTGACACAAGGATACAACACCGCAGGAAAAGCAGAAAATAAAAAGCTGTGTGTGTGTGGGGGGGGGAAGTTGATCTTCAGCCACCTTTGCTGAAGAGATCAGAAACTTGGGGAAAGTGAGGTTACCCACCCCCAAAGGGGGACACTGTGAAGCGTGGCTTTGCCTCTCTCTTGATATGGCAGACACAGGTGGCTGTTTTGGCCCTGGGAAAGGACAGCCCGGCCCTGGGAGGAGCTTCAGTTTTCCCTTTGGTTTTCTCATCCCAATCAAGAAAGCAAAGCAGATGTAAGGCTGAGCTGTCTGCAACGTTTAACCTTTATCCCCATGTCCCCGGCTGCCCTGAGGGTTGCTTTAATTATTTATTTTCCAAGCCATGCAGGGCAGGGGCCTGTAAAGCTTGTAAGAAAACATTGTGTAAGCCCAAAGCTCTGGAACACACGTTATTTGCCTGTCTGTCCCTTTCCTCTCTGGCCTTCCCTTGCTTTCAGACACAAAGGCCTCCCGCTGTGCTCTTGCTTCCCTCACCTATCTAGTGAGAAGGCGCACTAGGGCACCCCTTCAATCTGTTTACCCCGAAGTCTTGCTTTTTTTTTTCCAATGGGCCTGATTCCCAAAGGATTGTACTCTTACAACCCATTTGCCTCATTTTTAATAGAGCTCAGTGAAATTGCTAGACTAAACAACTATTAATGTTGTGGTAACCAGGCCACTGGATTTCTATTGCTTACCTCATTTAGTTTTGCTCCTTCCCCCCTCCCCAAAACTCAATTAACATTTTGAAGCCATGAAGCTGGGTCTCATCCATAAACTGATCTCTGTGTGTGTTCTGTGCTCTCAAGTCGGAACTGACTTCTAGCAACCCTAATAGGGCTTTCAAGGTAAATTAGATATTTAAAGAATCGTTTTACCAGTTCCACTCCAAGGATGAGCGGGGATTCGAACCCCTTCCTCCAGAATCCTTGGTCCATCACTTTACCCATTACAGCAGATATACACGGGAGCAAATAACATTCACTCTCCTCATCTCCAAAGGTGCCAAGGGCTTTTTTGAGGATTGTGGGGGTGACCTGGCCCCACAACTAACAGAGGGCACTCACTTCCGCTCTTCACTTAATAGGTGAATTAAAACTTCTAGCGTGCAAGCCCCAGCTATTGTTCTCAGGACATGGGCTACACGCGTGCCGGTCGCGTTGCACGCAGCTATTCTGGAAACGGGCCGCCAAAGGCACCAGCTCTCGAGCCCCCGAAGTCACGACGAGCCCGCACGCCGCCTCCAGAGACAGGCAACATGGATGCGGAGAAAAGGACCCATCTGGTGGCGGCGGCGGCGGCGAAAGCGGCGGCAAGAACCACCAGGCAGGAGGAGCGCGCGCGCACCCGCAACCCCCGCGCGCTCCATAATAATGGCCTTCCATCTTTTTCCTGGCTTTGTACCGCGCGCCTCCGCCGCCTTCCTGCCTGTTTCCTAATAAAGCGAGACGCCGGAGCCTCCTCCGGACTCCCAAACGGGGCCGGATGGGAGGATCAGCTTTCCTTCTTCAAAGGCCGGCCCGGCCCTAGCACTAAGCCCTGGGACAGCGCAGGGTTTGAAGGATGAACTGCTCACCCCCCACACACACACACGCCCCGCAGCAGCTTCTATTATAATTAATGGGACTTTGAACAAGGGAGGGCGGGAAGGAGGGAGCGACGGAGGAGCTCCAGGGAACCGGGATTTCAACTTTTATCGCACAGCCAAGGGCAAGAGAGCGGGACAAGCGCAAGCCTCTCCCGGCCTCAGAAATCCACAGGGCCGTTGAAAACAAATCCTCCCTGGTCCAGCCAAGTGCATTTGGGGTTAAGGGCCACCAAGGTGAGGGGCACGACAATGGGGGGGGGAAGGAAAAGGAGGGCGCCGTGCCCACACACGCCACGCTCTGCCCGCCTACGTTCATGCCGCCTCCTCCGCTGCTCTTTCGGGCGGCCGCCGTTCGTTTCCAAGCGTGCCAAAGCGAATTTTTCTTTCTTTCTTTCTTTCTCTTTTTTTAAGGCAGTGGGAAGAGCGACAGCAGAAAGGAGGCATCCGAGGGGA